GGCACTGGACTTTCTTTCTAACACAAGATGTGCAAGTATGCATTCCTGTGCATGGTGGCTAGAGGGTATATGCAGATAATTTTCCCAGTTGTAACTGAACTAAATAACCCAAATATATAAACCTCTCTTTTTTTCATTGAATCTCCTTCTAGAATCAAGTCTTTTGTCCACCTCTGGGATAGTAAGTGGTTCAAAACTCCGGCTATGGGGAGTTTTGTCAAATTCACTCTGATGTGCGTGTTATACTTCAATAAAAACATTAAAAAGAGCTTTAAAAAAAAACCCAAACCCAACAAACCCTAGCATGGCAAGGATTCACTCATCCCTGACCTCCTGTTAGCTAATCTTATCTATTCCCCTTGTACAATTTCTGATTTCCATGCTTCATGCTGGGCAAAAGAGCAAGCCGCTTGTCTCGCTCTGCGGCCCATCGACAGGGGAAGCGGGGGACAGGAAGGCTCCCAGGCACTTACCCCGAAATCAAAGCAGTTGAATGAAGAGTGAAAATAGAGGCGAGGCCCCATGCCGTACATCTTCAGGGACATCTCCAAGAGGAAGAGTCCCAGAAACAAAAATTCTGCATAGTCTGAAAGCATCAAAAGCAGGAGCATTTGTTCCCCAGATACTGTGGCTTCCGCACTCCCCAGCCCAACACCCCGATGCACAGAGGAGCCCTCACCACCAGCAGGACCTGCGCACGTGAGGATGGTCAGGCGGCACGTCAGGCCAGTGCCTGGCAAAGCCTCATGGTGCCTGAACTCGCTGACCCAGAAGGCACTCCATGGGTCAGCTTTGCTCTCCTTCACCAGGTGGGTTTGCCACATGGCAGGTGGCTCTCTGGAAAGACCAGGCATTACCCTAGCTTTGCTGAGAGAGCCAGAATGGACTTCCACACACCAGGCCGCGACAGCCTCCCAGAGCCTCACGCGCACCCAGTGGCAGCCTTACCCAGCGCTACCTCTTATGTTCCCTTTTTGGTCTATAGAGGTGCCTGTCACCCTAAGGACTTTCTCCCCAGGACTTTGGTGACCAAAACTCCCTACACCACTGAGCCTCCTTAAAACACGAAGTGGCAGGCCCAAGTTGTAACGCTACCTTGTTGACGCATCAGCAAAGATGTGTTCATCTGATTCAGCAATGAATGAGAGTGGAACGGTTCTGTGATAATGCCACCCCCCCGGACCAACGTTGGCCTCCCTCACGATGTGAAGAGCGAGAACTCGAGGTGGACAGAGCCACCGCCAGGCCCAGCACGGTGCCTCGCTCTGACATTCACACCCCAATCCAGCCGCCCCGAACGCCAGCCGTCACGGGTCACTCACAGAGGAGGTGGGTGAGCCACTGGGGCTGGTTGTGATGGACGATGGCCACGCAGGCGGTGTTGAGAGCCACCAGGCTCAGCACAATCCAGTAAAAGACCTGGGATTTGACCATGTGGCGGATAGAGATGCGCAGGAGCCTCTCCTTGTGCCGGAAGTAGGAGGCCCCGTCCACTTTTGTGCTTTTGATGCTGGCGCGGGCGAGAGGGGTGCCTGTGGGGGAGAAGCAAGGCGAAAACAATGAGGCTGCGGCGAAGGTCGCACTTCGTGGCAAGGGGGCATTCAAAGGGCAAGGTGGGTGGCGTCAGCGCCACAGCTAGGTGCCCGCCATGCCGCAGGCCCGGGGAAGAGCTGTGTTACGGAGTTTCCATGGCTGAGACCCCTCTGCTTTTCCTCTGGGCACACTCAGGCCTAGGGAAGGCTCCCCGGGCAGACCACCAGGTGTGTGCTGGCTGTCGTGATTCCTAATAGGATCATGTTTATGTTTGTAGCAGACGGGGCTTCTCTCTGGCCCTCCCTTTTACGTGCGCTCCAAGGCACCGGAATGGCGCTGCTGCCCTTGTGATCTTTGCGGCACGGGCAGCCTACCACGGCAGTGAGCTCCGTATGTCTCTTCTGCTTTCAAGGACGAAGGCCCTTCCCTTTAGAGATCAGCCAGAATCTCTACGAGAACCTGGGACCCTGGGACTGAACACCAGTCATGCTAAAGGGTTGTCAGTAGGAATTTGTACAGATGTCACATGAAAGGAGGTGCTGGAAGGAGAGAGGTGCCACTGGAGTTAAGCAAACGATTGCAGGTTCCCAGTGGGGGTTACTAGGAGCAACAGACACTCCGAATCTTTTCAACGCACCTCAAAGCGGGCTCTCGCAGAGGAGAGACAGGCAAGCGGAAGCCACACTTGAAGAATCTGGGTTGGGTTCTTTGCTCTAAGCCCATGTTTCACGCAAACAGTATCCCCTGGTCCATTGTTTCCTAAGTCACTGTCACGTAGATTACATTCCTTTCTAAATAACATCCCTCAATTCTGGAGTCTTTGGATTCGCGTCCTCCTTGTGGTGCTTCTCAAAAGACAGGCTCTTCCTTTTAATGGGAGAGTCAGAGAAGGGAAGACCTAGCTGGTTCCACTCACCCACGGAGGAGATATCGACACAGTGCTCGTCACTGGAGTCCCGCGTCATGGCCTCCGTCCGGCTGCGTTTGATGGTGGCCCTCCGAAGCACTGTGCCAGGACAGGGGAGGCACGTGAGATCGCGTACGACCAGACTTTTCTGGTCAGAACGAGGGCTGTGGGCCGGAGGCCTCTGTGACATGGGCGACTGCCCTTAGATACCTGAGCCAGGGCTGCAGAAGTTGCAGATGTCTACAGAGGCACACCTGTTGTGCTCGGCAGTACCTCGGAAACACAAGGGCTCCGGCGTCCGTCCTAGGGCCCGTCTACCCTCAGTAGAGGGACAGGCACTCCCTGTCTGTCTGTGCTGGTAATGAAAGTGGTCCCAAGGGATCCCTACAGATTTTCAAAGAAGATCTCTTTGATGCCATTTGTGGTATGGTGAAAATTGCATCACACGTTAGCAATGACATGCCCCGGAACCAAGTAACTCTTGGATTTGATGTTCATCGCTTTAAAAAGCATTTAAATCTGTGACTCAGTTCCCTTCCTTTTAAAGCGTGAGGGATGTTACGAGAGACTTTGGTTTCAAATCCCAGAGCGCCCCTCTTTTCTTTCTTTCTCCTCTTTTGATCAAGAGAGGCTGCCACGCTTCGGGGGCACCGAGAGTGGAGTGAGGTGTTGGGTGGAGCCTTACCTTCTAAGGCTGACGTTCCAGCGTTTTTATTTTCTTCGGCAAGCATGACTTCCTCTATATGGAAACAAATGGTTTAGTAAATTATCTGTGAATGGCAAATTATTTTATAAAGTGAAAATCCCTCAGAAAGGGCTTTGGCTCCCGGGCAGCGGAGATGGAGTAAAGGGTTCATAGTTAGTTGCAGACTTTGGCAGCAGAGAGCCATCCAGGTCACGGGGGAGCTCCAGAGACGCTCCAACAGGAGGCAGTCCTTCAGTGAGGGGTGCTTGGGGGATGATGGGTAAAATTCAGCTCTGCATCTGTCCTACTTGTTCAGGAGGATTCCCATGAGAGGAAGGGCTGATCTTTTTTACTAAAAACCCCTAAATGGATAGGAATGAAAAATTTCTATTTTTGTTTTTTCTTCTACCCAGTCCTTATCTTTTCTAACCCTTTAAATCATTCCTAGCAATGGAAGCTTCCTTCCTTTCTCATGTTTGCAACATCAACATCTACCCGGTCATTCAGGAGCTGAGACCCAGTCGCGGGCCCGAGCCTGCACGGGTGGGCTGGCTCCCTGCCACCCTCACCCCTCCGCCCTGCCTTGCTGAGCGGACCTTGAGCTGACAAAGCTAGGGCCCGTCATGGACGTCCCTGTGAGGCTGCTTTTTGTCTATGGTCTGTTCCTGGCACACAGAACTCTTAAAATCCTTGGAATTTATTGTCTTTTGTATGCTAATGATAGGGCTCATTGTTGGGGAGGCAACTGAAGAATGGGGGCTGCTAACCAGAAAAATGCACCTTAGGATTTGAGGGTTTTATAACTTTTAGCCCCTTCCCCCAACTCCTCCCACCTCCTGGGAAGGGAGAAGAGCTGGAGATTAATCAATCGCCAATGGCCAATGATGTGAACGATCACACCAATGTGACGGAACCTTCATAAAACTTAAACAATGGGGCTCAGGGGGCCTCTGGGGTGGTGCCACAACAAGACACTGAGAGGATGGCATGGCTGGAGAGGACACGGCAGCTCTGCGCCCTCTCCCCAAGCTCTGCCCCCACACCTTCATCTGTATCTTCCTTCCTTTTAGCCAAAAGTTCCTGAGTTGTATTCTTTAAAATAGGCTGGCAGTGGTTAAGTATAGTTTTTCCTGAAATCTGGAAGTTGTTCTAGTGCATTATCAAACCCGGACCCCTCTGAGTTTGTAGTCACTGGGGCAGAAACGCAGGTCACTAGGGGACTCTGCTTGTGGCTGACCTCTGAAGTGGGGACAGGCCTGCGGGATTGTCTTTAATCTGTGGGGTGTGCACTAACTCGGGCAGTACTTAGCGTCAGAATTGAATTGAACTGTTGGGCGCCAGTGGGTGTCAGAGAACGGCAGGACTGGCTGGTGTCGGAGCGACGTATTTGGTCGCTGGTGTCTGGAAAAGGACCACACAGTCCCTTGGCCTCCCCAAGAGCAGCCCTGGACTTCACAGAGGCGTCATCATGGGCAGGGTACGATTTTCTAAGATTTGTTAGGATAAGTCTCTCTAGTATCCCCCCAAACTTGCCAAGAAAACAGTCCATGCCTGGTGGGATTCAGCGTCCCCGATCTGGAGTGAAGTGGGATTGGGTTTTGGTTCCCACCCTCACTCGGCCCATAACACACCAGTTTACTGCCTCAGGCAGTCATTGCTGTGGATTCCGGCTGCTGAGGGAAAGCTGCAGCAGGCCCCATTAAAGGGCCGCTTAACTGAAGCACGTGTAGCAAGTTCAAGGGCAAGCAGAAGAGGGTGAAGTCGTTACCACAATTCCACCTGCATGTAAAATTGAGAGTATATAATGAATGCATTTCCCAGAGAAGGGGGTAGTTTTAGGCTCAGGCCATTATACCAAGTGCTAATGTTTAGCTTTCTTTTTTAAGTACAGCCTCCGGCAAAACTCTAAGTTAACAGGCTGAGTGTTATTAGTGGGATGCTCCTTGATGCAGACAAAGAGGGTTTTAAAGTCATTGGACAGTACAGTTTGAGGGCACTGTTTAAAATAGGTACTTGTTAAAATACCTCACAGCAACCTGAACGACCTTAGCCAGAGTTCTGTTGGCTGTGTACGGTGCCTGGGCTTCAGGGTGGGCAGGTTTGAGGACCCCCCGAAACATAGGGAGTTGCGTGGAGCTGCTGAGCGTGTCTGGGAAGCGCTCGAGGGCTCTGGATATGCCGAAACCACCCCCTCCCCCAATGCCTTTTGCCAACTTCGCTTTCGAACTTGACAGTGTCTTTCCAGGGAAATGTAACCCATATGTCTCTGATTCACTCATGCTCCATTTGCAAAGGGAAGGGCCAGGAAGCACAAGTTGACGTCGCAGAGCGTCTTTTTTCTTAGAAGGAGGAGAGCGCTGGCTTTGCCAACTGGAAGAAAGTGCAGCCTTGCCACCCTGCATGGAGTTGGAAAGCAGAGCCATAAGGAGCAGCATCCTGGCCGCCTGGCCCTGAGCGCAGCCACGGTCAGGCTGGAGGGCTCTTCCCAGCCACGCCGGCAGCCCACTCGCTAGGGTGGCCTGTCAGATGGCTCCCCGGCCCAGCACACCAGTGACAGCTGGGACTTGCAGCTGCCTGCCTGGCCTGGCTGCAGACCTGCTCAGTAAGGCTGAGTTACCATTCTGGGAAGAGAGAAGGGATGTTCACCTTCACCCCTACACGGGAGCCTTGGAGGAAAAAGGGTGAGAGAAAAGTGCAGTCAACAAGCACGAGTCAGGAGGCAAAGAAATGCAGAGAGTCCCCAAAGAGGGGGTGGTGACTACTATGTGGCTTTGAAGCAGCATCTTCAGTCACACTCTCCCTCATCCCGACAGTCAAAAGTTGACTCTGGGGCTGGCTGAGGCCCTGTGTGTCGCTGGGCAACAGGAGCGTTGGGCGTCCCCCCAAAACGCTCCCAGCAGGGCAACTGCGCCTCAAATCACATTCCAAATTTTTCCCAAGAGACCTCACACTCCTGCTACACTTCCGCCCAGGCGTAGAGAAACAGTGCAGGCGGTCACATGTCATCTTTTAATTAAAAAATGTACACTTTGCTCAGGAAGAAAATGAAGATTAATAAGACTAACGCAATCCAACTTTTAAAATAGTAAGGCAAGCAAATGCAGCCTTTTTACGGACAGGGACGGCGTGGGGCGGGGGGGGCGGTTCGACGTCCCTCATACACAGCCGAGTCACGGTCCAACTTGAACCTGGTGGCTCTGGGGGTTAAAAATCGTGATGGGCTCAGACCTGCGCTCAAGACTGGGCCACAGTCAGTCCCGGAGCAGAGCCACAGCGGGAGGAACTGGCGACAGCTCAGGGAAGAGGCAAGACCCATCCTCTCTGTCCTCTGTTCCCTGACCTCCTGTGACAGCCTCACGACTGGTCTCCCTGTTTCTGACCCTGTCCACCTATTGTTCTGTTCTCAGGGCAGCCACCAAGGACTCCTTCCAGATCTTAAATCAGGGTGCAGCCCTCCCTCCTCTGTTCAAAACCCTCCGGTGGGTCTTGCCTCACTTGCCCTTACGATGCCGGCCATGCCCGATCCGCTGCCCTGCCCCCACCCGCCAGGTTGCCCTCATCCTGTCTCCTGCCCCCTCCCCTGTGGGCCCCCTCCCCACCCTGCCCTGCAGCAGCACTCCTGGCCGCTCCCATGTTACAGCCTGGGCACTGGCGTGCTCCCCGCTCAGAGCTTCCTGTGGCTCGCCCCCTCGTCTCCCCCAGATGGATCTGTTTTCGTTGGACACTATCGCCTTCTTGCAAGTTACTCATGGACGGCGTTGTTCACTGCTGCCTTCCCCAGCAGAGGGTAAGGCGCTCCACAACAGCAGAGCTCTGGCTCCCTGCCGTGCCCAGGTGCCCAGAACAGGACCCGTACAACAGAAGCCAGCAATAAAGACTTGTGGAATAATGGATTGCTGTTATTATTATTAGTATTAGTAGTACAAAATGTCACCAGCCCAAACTCAGCTCCAGGATTGGGTTCGGCCCCCTTCTCCTTGCTAAAATGCCTGCCTCATGAAGGTGTTTAATAGAAGAACAGGGACTGTTGGATGCCAGGTAAAGGAAGGTAGAACCTGCAGGGAACCCCAAAGCGAATGAGGCATCTAGAACTTCTGCCTGCTCTGGTCTAGGCTGCTTCTTTGCGAGGAGGCATTGGGAGTGAGCGGCAGGGAGGTCCCGGCCTCCCGTGCAGCCTGCCACCAGCCACGCCCCTCCCCCACCCCACCCCACCCGACTTACCCGCTTTGTCTATCCAGGCGCGGTACCCATTCAGCTCTCGCTCAATCTGCTGCTGGCGTCGCAGCTTCATGAAAGCTCTCCGGTTCTCCACTCTTTCTCTCTCTTTGGCAAATTCCCTGTGGACAAAGAGAATACGGTTCACTAGGTTCGGGTAGGGCCACGACTTAGAGAAAGGGGGAAGCGAGGAGGAGGGAGAGGCTGAGCAGGCGTCTCTGGGCACCCCAGTTCCCCTTTCTATGGTTCCAGGCTGCAGCTACGACCTCCTTAAAAGGATGCTCAGAAGCACACCTCGTTCAGTCTTCTACAAGAACTTTCCCAGATCGGTTTCATTCCAATCAGCACTAATACCCTCTGCTTGCTCTGTTTGGAAAGGTGTTTTCTTAGTAATGTGACAAACTAGGTCTCAAAATGCTGTAAGTTCCATGTCCCCAGATGACAACAGAGGCCCTTAATCCTCCAAAGGGCATGGCTACTCTTTATGCTTTTAATTACAACAGTGATTCACGTACATGACCGCTTCTTATACGTCAGCCCTGTATGAAGTTTTTCATACCTAACAACTCCTGCAATCCTCACAACTGCCCAGCGAAGTAAAGCACTATGAAAATTCTTGTTAAACAGATGAGGAAACGAGGCTTCAAGAAGAAAGGAAAACTTGCTGGGATCTGAACTTGAACCGGAATGCTGTGCTTCCTCTGGGGTCCTGCATCCTGTGGTGCCAGAATGGCTGTCACTGAAACCCAGTGACACGGACTCTTTGCCGGGCTGAGAGGCTGTCTGATGGTGGCTGGGAGAGGAGAAGAAAGGGAAGACAAGAAGGGCACCTGGGCTGCAGGGCAAAGACAGTGGGAAGGTGGGATGGGGCGGACGGGGGATAGTGAGGCAAAGGGAAAGCCAAGGTGAGGGGCAGGGACAAGATAGAGTCCACAGACAGGCAAAGGGGACCAGGGCCACCTGTGGCACAGATGATGGGAAGATGAAAGCCCCATGGAAAACGAGAGCAAAGAGCAATACGGGCCGCCTGGCAGAGAAGGACATGGTCGAATTCAATGGGTGAGCAAACAGGGATCAAGAAATGCTCATTTGCTAACAAGCCCTCCGGAAACAGCCTCTCAGATGCCCTTCCCATCACTACCCCTTCCCAGACAAGAGTCCCCCTTGTGAGAGTAGCACCTCCCGGCTGTGACTTAGGCGCTTCCCCCTCCTGGAAGCTGTCAGGGGGCTCCCTGTACACAAAGAGGTGCCCCCTGAAGATGAGGATGTCTAGCACCTATTGCGGGTCCTGCCAGCTACTCCCTCATGGCCAGGGAAGAAGAAACAAGCCAGGGGCTGAGAGACATGTCCCAGCCCCAATGCAGGGCCTGGGGAGGGACCTCCTCCAGTCCCTCCTGCCAAGACAGAGGCGGGTCGGGCCCTTGGCACAGATACCTTATAATGGTCACCGCCAGGCTGAAGGCCTGGGTATAGGCACAATGGAAGGAGAAACTCTCCTAGGTTTGGCTTCAGGTTCAGTGGGTTCTGCTGAGGATGTTGTGGGGGACGGAAAGGGAGAGGGTCAAAACGAAGGGTGCCAGGGCCAGTGACTAGCAAGGTGACAATTCAAGCCCATGGGGTTTCCTCCTTTCCTCACCGCCATTTGTGGATTTCAGCAATCCAAAATGACAAGGGACTGGCTTTGTTCACAGCATCCCCAGCTATCAAAGTCGTTACCTTTGGCCCTTTGTCTTCTTTTTATCCCTCCCACCCAACAGGTGCCGCTTTTCTGTTGCTTCTGTCTTCAGGGGAGCCACCCTTCACTCCAGCCTCACTGCCTTGGCCCAGGACCGCATCCTCTCCTGCCTGGACCACGCCAGTAGCCCCGGCCTGGTCTCCCAACTGCCTGTCCCTCTTCCCTTCATGGCCTCCACCTCGCAGCCATTAGTTATCTTTCTAAAATGCGTGTCAGACGCGATCACTTCCCCACCTAGAATAATAACCATTATGAGGCACGCTTGTGGGAGATTTTCTGATTTTTAAGCACCTCTGTATATTTTCCTCATTGAATCATTACAACCCTTTTGAGAAGAAGGTAGAACGGGTATTTGCATCTTCAACTGGAAAGTTAGACAACTTGTCCGAGTTGAGGAAACAAGGCCGGGCTGGAGCCCAGCTGTGTCTGCTGAGGGTCCAAGCCCTCCCTCCCGCACATCTGCCCGGGGGCGCATTTGCCTGTTGTTCTCCCTGATCCCTTCATAGCATGTCTTAATTTTTCAACTATTCTCTGGGGGGAATCCAGGAAGCTTTCAAGCAAGACCTTGGAAAAGGAGACTTTAAGCAGGCTGTGACCGGAGAACACAATTATCCTTTAGCCTCTGGAATGAGGTCTCTATTTTTCAGCTCACAACACTGGATCTAAGGGGGAGTGGAGTGGCCTATTGAGAAGGCAAGTATCCAAGGACACTGCCACTGAGAGGAACCATGACCCTCAGATCTTCTTGATTCCATCTGTTCTAACACCGTCCCCTCCAGCCTCCTCCGCCTGCTGCTAAAGTAAGCACACACCCCGAAATGGCCTCAAAGTCTTTCACAGTCTGACCTGGACCTTTCTTTTCAAACCTCACCTTCCAGCATTCCCATCCACCCTTGCCCGCCGGCTGCCCCCTCAGGCATGTCCGACCACAGCGCGCTCTCACATCCCTACAGGGGCAGTGCGGCGGCTTCAAGGCTTAGTTCGCACTGCCTCTCTGCCCGAGTTTGTCAGAAGCTTTCTTCAAGGCCAGGGTGAAATGTCACCTCTTCTGTTTCACTTCCTTCTCCCCCCTCTGCCCCCAGACTGTAGGCTTCTGGCCTCCCCTTCCTCTATTTCTTTACAGCTCATGGAACAACCAGACTTCTACTCTGCTGAGCTGTACATGTGACTCTCTTTTATGTGAGCTTTTTGTAAAACATTGTGTCTTTCTTACCATTGTGTCCTCCCGGGATAGGCCTGGCACATAGTATATGCTCAGTAGTTTTTGTTTTTTTTTTTTAATTAAAAATATCCAGGCTGACTTGGGCAGCACACTAGTAAGCTCTGCCCGGGCCCTGAAGCCTCAGTGAGGGCACGTGCCCTCTGTGCGCTGAGCCAAAGCCAGCCGCTGACCCTGTGGGGACACACCAGCTGCCAGGTAAGCCCCGGACACTGGAAAGCCAACCGCTCTTTCTCGTTCGCTCTGCTAAAATCTCTGTGGAATCGGTCTCTAAAGTATGCCACACGTCCCTTCTAGCTGGCTCCCGGAATGACCTTGATGTTTGGTGGGAGAGGCGAGAAACCCAGGCTGACCTCCCTGTGTACTTGGAAGTTTCCTGGCTCCGGGTGTCACCAGCTGGCTTCCTGCTCTCCTCTGTCATTGCAGCCCCCTTTCCTCCCACCCTCCCACCTGGCATCTTTGCCGGGCTCACAAGCCCAGAGCCCAGCCAATCTGGCCTGGGCTTTTTAAGAAACCTCTTGGCTAAAGGAAGTAAACAAAGAACGTGCACCCATGGGGGCAGCTCCTCGCAGCTGATGCATCTCGGGGAGGGAGAGCCGTGCTGGGGGGCTTCTGCATTCTGTTTATCTGGTGGCTCTTTTCTGTTTTGCCATTAGGAGCCCACAGCAGAAAGCCTGGCACCAGTGTCTTTGGTGACACTTCTCCCCGCTTCCCTCGCTGTCATCATTGTTTGCGCCCTTGGCTCATCTCCCGACTAGTCTGCAGGCGCCACGAGGCCAAACAGAGCTGATGCCGTATCACATTCCAACAGGGGCCTATGAAGACGAGTCCAAGACCCTGTATTATAGCAGATTCCATAGATGACGAAAACAACACATTAAGAACAACTCATAGTCATCTAACACATTTGTGAAATTTTTAATTTGCACATCACTTTTATATAAATTAGTTCACTTATATTTGCAAAAACCCTGGGAGATTCAGAAAGGTTCTGGCCCAAGATCATCGCATTAGCTGGAATTCAAACGAATGCCCTCCGGTCCCAGGTCAAAGGCTGTTCCCGCCAAGCCTCGCTGCCTCCTATGCCATCTGGATGTCACCCGTTAAGATCTGCAAAAGGGATTTAGTTCCAGCCCAGGGTTGAGGAAAATACGGACATAAAAACAAGAGTTCCTGTGTTTTTTCTAAAAGGACTACCTTTTTAATAGTGGAGCAGTATAAAAGTCCATTGCTCTGTGTTGGGTTAATAAAGACCTAGTATAAAATTCCTAGCACAGCTGACAATGTACTGCTTGACTTTTGTGCCCATATCACAGCCATTGCTTATTTAGACGTCCATCGCGTTCTGGAGGAAATGGGGACAGGCAGGATTCAATTCCATTACCTGTCAGAAAGGACTGACTTTTCTAACCTTAGCATCAACCCACCCGCCACTCCCGTGAGCACATACGTGGCCCAACCCAGGAAAGGGAGGCATGGTCTGCTCCCTGGTCCCCCACATCCCCCATTTCCAGAGAACCTGAGTCCTCTCTCCTCTTCCCAGAGGATACTGGGGTTTATTCAGGTGATGGCGTTTTTGCAAAGACAAAGCAGATGACCATTACAGGGCTTATTCAGATGACCGCTGCCAAACTTACCACTGGAAGGTAACTCAAAGAGAGGCCTTCCACATATCCCAGCTTCCCCAGCTGCCTTGGACTAAGCAACGGGAAATTTAAAAGGAGACGATGAGGCTGACAGGAGAAGAGGGTTCATGGCCCCTACGGCCTCTCGGCCTCGGCCTGTGGCTTAGGGTGAGAGATGGGTGATCGGCTCCCCTTCACTGGCTCCAGCCCCTGCACCCCCACAGATGCAACAGAACTCAGGGCGGGATGCCCCTAGACTCCAGAATTCCCAACGACGGGAAAGAAAATAAACTCCCATATGCTCAAGAGGAGATGCTACCAGGTCTATTCTCTGAGCTCCGCACCCAGGTGACATGTGCTGGTAACAACCTGGACAGTAACCTCTCAGTCTCAGTCTCCTCATTAGTCACTGTTGACATCAGAAGGACACAAACCACCCTCCACCCCCAGCTCCTAACCAGGGGCAGGAATAAATCTGACCTACTCTGGGAGTCCTCACTGGCTCTTGTAAGACTTTGTATAATGATATAAAGCCAATGAAAA